GGTAGTTTGCCTCTGCTTAACGAGTGTGCAAACATGAACCTAGAAGAGATTTACTAAAACTTTAAATCCTATTGCGTTAGGCTTTAATAAAAATTTAGTTTATTGGACAATAAACAAGATCAATCAATTTAATCTAGTTTGCTAATTTTGTTGTACTAGCCCAGAGCTTGGATGCATTACTATTAATTTGGTTTCAAAGGTTGAAGACAATCTTATGTTTTGAGAGTTGTCAGATCTTTTAGCTAATATTTTCTCAATTTAAAATATTCCACATATATATTCAGTTAACAACACCATTACTGAACTCAATAGTATGTGGTGCGTCCCCCATGTTTTGTTCCATTTTCCAGTTAGCTTGGCAAAGATTGGTGTTCATGAAATCAAAAGAAAATTCTCTTGTCAGTATTTGATAATAGAAATTTTGAATATGACTTCAGTAGTTTGACAAATGGGCTTGTAAACATCTTTTCGATTATTCCTTGTATGATTATTATCACTATTACTTTTTATTAAGATTTGCAAAAACATAAATAAGTACACCAAATTAAGTGAAATTATAAAAAATGGTTTATAAAAAATTGTTTCATATGACGAATAAATGAAGGATAACGGTTTCAAAGGGATTATCAGTTATGATATCATATTGTTATGGTTGTTGTTCATTGTACCTCGTCTGAAAGCTGGATTAATTCAAAGTGGCAACAAAAAATAAGCGTGATAAGTAGTTAATCTAGGAATATCTGCAACAATATCAGAAAACTAGTTAAACTACATAAGAACTACTTTCTTGATCATTTTAAACGTATATATGATATATCAGTGAAATCGAATTTTGCTTCTTGGTAATCACATAATTTCATTGATGAAGTCCAACGCTGAAGACAGTAACTAGGAATCTTTAGTTTCGGATTCTGTAACTCAGTAAAGAGGTTTTTTCGAAGTTTGCTTTCTCTTCTGGAACTTGAATTTATCCTAAACTGGTGCGAAGCAGCTTCTTTAAGTAGTGTGTTGTGTACAAAAACTAACCACTTATCAAACGTTTGCATCTAAAAATACAATGAAAGCCATTAAAACGGATGAAAGGGTAACAATCTGCGCTTCGTTTAACACCCAATAAGTGGAGGTTAGCTGCATCGTAACGCATAATCATACACTTATGGAATTTAGCCCTTTGGGGGATTTTCCATGAAAATATAATGTAGGACATAATCCAGAGCTATGATGTGTCACTTATTATAGCATTTACAGCCTATTTGACCGATAGGTCATGGTTAATAGTAAGCACAATGACATTTAATTGGATATTTTAACAAATTCAGTTGGTTCATGTTTCTGTGTTTATTGAGATATATACCGCCTATATTTTTAGTATTTTATTTTGATCTACAAATAGTTTTAATACGGTTGATTAATCACTGAGTAGAGGGCGGTCTTATGTTTTTAAAGTCTTTTTAGTGCTGTTTAAATTCTATGGGTCAAGTTGTAATGTGGCCACTAGTTTGATTGACTCGGCATCACATGAACTGTGTTGAGATGTTAGGTAGGGTTTCAGACCATGAGGCTGGATGACATGGATGACATGTCAAGGAGCACATGCTCTTTCAATATTACGTGTACACCTTACTGACGAGTATCAATCAGCACGAGACCTAAGTCCAGGGTTTTCTGTAGAATACCTCCAACAACCTAAAAAACTTAACACAGTTAAATAAATGAAGACAGTTTATGAAAATAAACAGTCTATTGATTTCTACTTATTTTCATTATCATCGTCATCATTGTTATCGCAATTGCCATTGAATGCAGTCACTATGTTTGCTATAAAAAGATGTGACCCAGTTGTCAATAAATTTAATAGTGACAATTTTTATCATGATGATGGAATTTATAAAGGGATGATTAACAATTATTGTTTTAATGGGAAATGTATTAAAACAGCATAGAAATTATCAAACCTTAGTATTTACTTTCTAGATATATGTATTAGAAACCCATAACAGCTGGCGCGGACTTCTAACAAGTGCGTCGTGGAAAGCAAGCTTATACTCTTGATATTCATGTAATTTTTCGTAAGAAACTTGCATATAATTGTTCTGTGTCCCATATCCATTCGATCACTTTCGTTGAGTAGATAAATTCAATATTTAGAATTAATTTAACCAATTAATTTTGATCATCAAATCATCATCAAAGCGTTAATCACTGTAAATAAAACATTTTCAGCCTAGAATATGTTATTTAATTTTTCTTGTGAATGTACCGTTTTGTTTTAGTATGATAACTAATTTTCAGAAACTTGAAACAGCTAATCGCTTTTATAAATTTCGATCGAACAATGAGATTAGACCAATTCCATCATCTCATTGTTCTATCGAAATTTGTGGTAACTGTGGTTGGTTCGTTACGTCATTTGGTCAATGTCCAGATTGTTGAATCATGAATTCCCAATTAGTCTTGATTATTTATGTGATAACTGAAGAAAATATTGATACTTACATTGTATACTTACGTATCTGTGTTGGTGAAGTAATTAAATATAAAAATGTGTTTGAGCCTTGACTGATGAATTGTAAATTTTCTAAAACGAGATGATATCGATGTAATTGGTACATTTATCCGACTACGAGAATGGAAGCCGATTGTTAAAGCAGCCTATTAATTCATTACTAATAAGTTTTCGACACAACGTCTTTAAAACTATTATTGAAGATTCATGTGATAGGTTGACTTATATGACTTCTTGTTTCTGACTACCCGACTTATTTACCAGATACCTAAATATGAACCACATTCTAGTTTGGAGGGAATAATGATAATATCCGGTTACCAAAACCGATCATGTCTTAATGTTTCTTCATCGAGCTTAACTTTTTAGACCGTTCTGGCTTACAAAATTGTTGAACATTCCTTTTTTATTAGAAGCATTCAGAGTATAAGTATGACATGCTCAAAACTAGAAATTCTTGCGGTTTTTTTGGATAATCCAGCTTAAATTCAATGGAGAAAAAGGATACTTTTATCGGCAACTATTTTCTTATACCATCATTTATGATGCCATATGATGAACATTTGATTCATAGTTTTATGAAAGTTTGCATTAGTGAAAATCTTCGGCATTTTTACTTTAGATATGTTATTTACTAAGTACTAGTTGAAAGTACACCTATATTTGGAGATCAAATAGGTAACTAACATTACCTGCATATATTGTATTTAATTTTTCATTGGAAAGAGTTGGGAGTGAGTCTTTTCACGTCAAAGATTAGTAGCGTATGAAATGTTTCAGTTAAAGTGGTATATATTACTAAATTTACGTTATCTACTTAGTATTTTGAGTGGGTAGGTTCAAAATATTATAACTGTGACTCGGTATTGAAAAATTAGAGGAGATCTAATGATATTTACAGTGAATGCTTCCTGGGTGCTTATATCCACTTAATTCCTTTTCCAACCATCATTATGAATGACTTGTCCTTCTTCAGTTTCTATTTTCATGATTTCACTGTTTTTACGTTTTTCTTCCCGTTTTTGTCACGATTGATACTATTACGTTCTGTATAGTTCTTGATATCTATAGTGTTACATCACAACAAAAAGCTTTACTATCTCGGTTGTATTCGGAAGCTGGATTACGCCACTATTGTGTAGCAACGTTTATTTTAACATGTTTGGCTTTCCATTTTAATGATTTCGTTTCATTACTTTGATGTGTAAAATATGATAATTGTGAACGACTAAATGAACGATTGTAATTCTAAACTCTGTTCTAGATCTTACGGACATCGTGTCTGTATGTTTAATCGCAATTATAATTCTTATGTGAAAAAGTAATTGTATTAAATAGTTAATGGAGACGTCAGTAACTTCGTACAAGTTATGTTTTATCGTCAATTCCAGGCTTACAAATCAAAAACAGAAGTGACTTAGATCATTCAAGGCAACAATAATGAAGCTTCATATGAATGGTTATAACTCTTAATACTAATAAAGATTTCGAATACTGAATGCCTAGAAGTGGCTTATATTAAGCCACGAAATGTCAGAAATACAGTTTTTCTACACATTGGGATGTAACGAAAAATGTATTTATTATTCAGCTTTTTGGTTGAGAGAGTCTGTATTAAACTATCCAGATTGTGAATATTGTAAAAAGGATTAAATAGTAATTTTAGAACTCAGTCTTTCTTTAGATTGAAAACGTTTCATTGACTATCATTGTTGACTTCCTTATGGATCTTAGTTAAAAATATTTTAAGGCCCTTGTTTTCGCATTGTATGATAGTGTAAAGCTCTGAAAAGTCTTACTAGTATACCGTAGACTCAACGTACAAGTTAATTTTACGGTAAAATATGCATACACAGATAAAGATCGGGGTGGAATTTTCAAAATTTCAATGTAAAATTATCAACCTGTAAATCGAAAAAAAGTTTAGGATGAAGTAATCACTCATCAGTGAAATCGGAAATGAATCTTGCTAGGTTTCTAGACTGACTGGAATTTAAAATATAGCTGAATTTTTCCCACTTTAAAGATATTGTATTCATTACAAAACTTGTCAGTCATGATTTAGTTCCAGTTTAGTGTTTTGATTACGCGATGCGCATAAATTCTGGAGACCAGGACAGAGTTGGTATCCAGTGTCTCTCCATCTTTAAGTGGTTTTCCTCGACTGATACCAATTCTTAAGGGAATTTGGCTTCAAATTATACAAAGCTGCTTAATTTGATTATAATTTTCGATGCAGTCAGCTTTTGTCTTTACAAATAACTTCGAATTCATTGTTCTTATTTTGATTGCAGATATTATGTCGGTTAAAACAAGTTACAACTTCACAAAATAATTACAAACCATCTATCATTCCAATCATTTTTAAGCTATTCAACAGAATTTCAACATTCCATGACATTAAATAACGAGTAATAGCTGGTTTCTACAGAAAAATTGCGCAAAAGTGATACGTTTACTGTGCCATTTGTGCAGTAATTGTAGTGGGCAAACAATGAGTCGATCGAGAACCGATCAAAAATCAGGATCATGGAGTCATATGGAGGTCGATTTAACAAGTAAAAGTAAGCAATGTTATTGTACTTTCCTTTTTCCAAAAGACCGGTTTTATCAACACAAGTTTTACTCCTCAAAACATTTTGTTTCTACAAATTTTACTTTATATTTGCATTTTGCCTTCATTTGATTGTAATCCAGATTCGCTTCGTGTGAATTCCTTCTATCTGAAATGTATTTACAAACAAAAGCAAATTCAAAGAGATCTACATTGGATGATGAAACTTTCGTGAAATTAATTCATTTTCCTGTTTGTAACTTCATTTGAGAGACAACAATGTACAATTATGGTTACCTATGATTTGTATGATCAGGTGATCTACAACAGATATAGCTAGTAGTCAAGTGCATAAATCTGCACTTAATTTATAAATCTATTTTTTAAATAGTCATGACGAAATATTTATTTTGTTACTTATCTCACTAATAGTTCACTATCTAAAACAAATCATTTACGTTTTATAGTAGTTGTTAATGATAATTTATTTATAATCCGTCCTTGTTTTATTTTTCTGAAGTCTACAATTCATTATCAGCATAGAAATTTTAAATACTTGAAATCATTTCAAGAGATTTATCTTCTACACACAAAAAACACAACTATCACGTGATAAATAATCAGAAGCGTTTGTAGTTTACATCACGAACTGATTTAATTCGATAATCAATAAAAACTAGGAAGCACTGAACAGCTATTTTCGTTCTGTGAGACTTCTCAGAAGTGTGTATCCACAACTTCACCGGGGATAGACCCAGGATTTTTGGCTCTCGGGATCATGTCTTAACCTTTGGACTTCTGACTTTTCATTCATTAGTACTGTGACCAATGAAGTTCAACCATGTCGAATGTGAGGTAATTATCCACTGAAGGCAGTGCCACCTCAATGAGTAATATCGTAAATTGGTAGAAGTTAGATAAGCACATAATTGGATTGATGTCTAAATATTAAATATTCACCACGAAGTTTGAAGATGTTGGATTCGATACTAAGTGGGGTCGTGCGTGAGGATTTTTCAAAAGTCCCATGCCAAAATGAAATAGCTATTCAGCACTCCACGGTTAGTCGTTAATGCTATGATTATTTGGCTTTTATAGTTATTATTTCCTGTTTTCACAACTCGTATAATTCCTAAGTCAAAACATGTATATATTTTATAAGAAAAATTGTTTGCATGAAATAATCATGCTGCGGTTTTTGTTGTTAAGCCATTACAGTTATATGGAAACATTGTATAATTAAATGATAATAGTTCTCACAAATAACTGACATTGTGCACTTACAATCCCAGACAGGATTAATTGTAGGACTTTCTAATCCTACAGATCGAATTTGATATGATAATATGATTGAATTGATGTCAGTTTATTGTGGTCAGAATAACTTCTTATGAGTTGATTTTCCTTAAATCTATTAAGTTCTTTCTTAGGGTTAGTATAATGTAGGTAGGGAAAGATTCAAAATAAAATGTTTTCAAAATGTACAGTAGGATTTGAAATGCTCTACTTACCAACTTATACGTTGATTTAGTATAAAAAATACATTTGAAACAGTAGAAACGGTGTAAAAGGATGACAAAACTAAACTTAGAATAAAATAAAACAAATGAATAAATAATATATTTGTAATATCTTAATGAGTAGAAAAACAGCATTTTCTGACGTTTCGTAACTCCATGTAATCCACTTCTTCAAAGAATAAATAATCAAATTAACATTAATCCAAGTTTAAATAGTACAACGGAACAACGCGAATATTAGGTGCGATCAAACAAAAAACAGATCTGAATAAATCAATGTCATGTCATTTCGGTCAAGGTGATTTATAAGCGACATGTATGTAAATTTTTGTGTGTGTATATGTGCACTAATAAGGATGAAAAATGTTTGACCTGTAAGGTAATGGTGTGAATTGTAAATAATATCAAACTAGGCTACTAGGATAGATAGTCCTAGTAGGATGTATGGTAAGGCCTTGCTTTCTATTGAGAGCAGTAGGATTAAGCATTGTATGGAAGGCTTCAGCTACTCTCCTTTCTTTGTTATTGGAAAAGCCTTTTTGTAGTATTTTGATATTTTTGAAATCAATTTGATGATTGTTGAAAATGGCGTGAACTGCTATTCCCGATTTAATTTGAAGTCTATTCAGTTCTACAGGATTATTAGGTTTCTTTGTGTATCTAATATGTTCTTTGGCACGAGTCAAGATTTCGTGAGATGACTCTCCAATACAGAAGGCGAGTTGATACCTCACAACAGACCTGGTTGAACTCTACTATTCAGGGCTTCTCACTAGAACTACAGAAAATACCTCTTGAAACCAGTCACTAGTGAGCATATGTTGATTAACATCAGAAGGGTTTTTGTGAATATCACAGTAATTTTAGGAGTTGAGATCATGAGTCTCGCGTGCGAGACTGGTAGGTCCTGGGTTCTAATCATGCGAGGCGGGATCGTGGATGAGCACTGCTGAGGAGTCTCACAATGGGACGAAACGGTCGTCCAGTGCTTCCAGGTTTTCCATGGTGGTCTAGCTCCAATTGACTCATGATTTCAACTATATATAATGATGTGGTTTGTCTAACATATGGTGGTGAGACTATACTTATAGGCGACTTTTGAGGACGCTAAGGTGACCTTGACAATGCCCACCTACTTACTAGGGTTAAATGTGGGTTGTAAAGTAGTGTGAAGAATAAGGATTATGATTTACAATTGATGGTCAGGATTAGGAATTTGATTTATGATTTTCATCACGAACTGACATTAGGTAAAATACCGAAATGCTATTTTTAGATAAATGGGTGAATAAATTTCGCACCAACATTCGAGAGCTATAATTCTAAATTTGATTAGTTCATCCATAATTTATAGTCTCGCCAATATGATTATTGATATTTGCATTTAGATTTAGAATTCTTTAGTAAAAAAAATGAATAGTTCAACTTATATGTATCTCAATTAGAAATTACGCCCATGCATTGTTCTGTTTACTTGTGATTTACTTCTAATAGAGATAATAACAGTGTTAAAACAATATATGAAACAATAAAATACTTTTCCCTCTTCTTTCTACGTCATTCATTATAAGTAGTCACGCTTGAGGTCGTATGGTAATAGCTTTTCATTCATATATATATATATATATATATATATTAGTAGACATATGTGCATGTTGGGATAGAACATATTATACAAGATTTTTACTAGGAATTAATTGCATTTCTTTTGCTCTACTGATCTATTGCAATTTCCTGCTTATTTGTATATTTAAATCCCTAGCCATGCATTGAGCACTTGTAGTAAAAAACACCACTCTCTCGCCCATTATATATATATATATATATATATATATATATATATATATATTTGTTGTCTTTCTATGAGTTCATGCATTTCTATTGGTTATGTAAGCTTGTTTATTTATCATATATATTAGACAATTATAAAGAAATGAATTGTGTTTATCGTTTTCTAGTTTGTTTATTTTCTAATTTTTATAACATTCATCCATTTTTTAGCTTTAAATAATCATGTATTTTTTTTCTTTTTCGATGAATTTAGTTGTGTAGCTTTTTACATATTGAAGAATAAGAAAATTTGTCCTCTAAATAATGTCAGTGTTTTTTGTTTTGTTTTTTAAATACGAAAATTCATACTAATCTCTTTTCAAGTAAAGATTAATGACCGTATATATATTTAGAAGTGAATTTTCTATCATTATAATAAGAGACCTTAATCTATAAAACCAAATTGAGCGGAAGATGATCTAATTATTCATTAATCAGGACAAGTAACTCTATGTATAATGTGTTGACCAAGTTTTGATAATAACACCTATTCGATTCAAATTCAGTATAATATTCATTTGAAGATCTGAGAGTCCTCAGTTCTATTTCATATAAGATGGATAGATGCATCTAATATCATTTTGTTATAATATAAATTTCTAATTAATATTAATTAAACTATGATATTGTTTTGTCAAACATCTTTTATGTTTAAATTCATTTAGTATTGCTCGTTTGGATCTTCCCATCGATGTGTTTAGGACTGCAACTGGTCAGTCTCTAATTGGCATATGTGCATACTGTGCGTATTGCCTCGATATACCTTAATTCACAAGCATGGTAAGCAGAGATGGATAGTGGCTTCCTGTGGCGTCCTGGATTCCACTGCTAGCCACTATCCACCTCTGCTTACCATTTTCTATATTTGTATTTTCACTTAAAAGTTAGTTTAGTTCATTTTCATAGTAAAACAGATAGTTGTTAAAGAAATTTTTGAATTATTTTGTACCTTCTTATATACTTTCTTAATTCTGTTTCATTTTAAGCCATTGGATATAAAGAAACTATAATATATTCAGATTTTTTTTGCTTTGTATTAAGATATGTTATGTTATGATCTAATCCAACAACTACAATTACGTTGAAACATTTGCAGTTTTACCAGATTTGCTATATAAAAATCTTAATAAAAAAAATACCATCTAAAGTTTTAAAACAGGGTTTCAAGCTGTTAATCTATTACATAATGATTAAATCAATGTTAAATTAATGATTTATAGCTTCATATTCTGTTAAGATAATTATAATAGTTATATTTAAGTAGTTCAATGAACTCCACTTCATATTGAGATTTATGTGCTATTCACTTACTTATCAAAAAACCTTGAATAAACGATATTGATGACACTTTACTGTTTCTTTTCTTAAATAATGGATAACGTTTCGGCATTTAAATAACAACAATTACACGAAGATAATTCATTCATCCAGTTGACGTACTTGATGATCAGTTGTAATTTAAAATCGAATCAATATGTGAATGCATACAATATTGAACTATTGGTTCACGAAGGGTGTAGGTTCAAAACTAAGTGTAGTTTGTTATTGTATGATTAAATATTTGGGGAAATATCTTTTTCTATTCACTGATTATGTTTTTAAATGTAGAGCAGTAGCATCATAGTTATAGGATTTAGCTTTCAACCATTAGTTTGGAAGTTTAGATTATTATTATTATTATTATTATTATTATTATTATTATTATTATTGGTGTTCACTCCGGGACTCGAACTCAGTACCGTCCGCCTTAAACGCCATCGCTAACGGTACTGGGTTCCAGTCCCGGAGTGAACATCAACTCCGAGATGTAGGTACATCTGTCTTACTAGTCCCCAACAGAACGAAACGCGCATCCTGGATTCCACTGCTAGTCACCACCAATCTCTGCTTACAATTACGCAATACTTTTGGTTGTCCACAATTATCTAATGGAATTGTGAAAATTACAGTTCTGGTTATTTGATTTTCAAAAATATAAATGAAGCACTGTGAGCAAGAACAATATATTCTCTGTTTATAACTTATTTTTAGTTGGTTCACTTTAGTTCGATTGAATGAAGTCGTGAACAAAGAATAATTTTAACACAAGGCAGTAGCCGGAAAAAAGTGTTTATCAATACAGATATAGGCGTTTATTTACTAATCACATAAGAAAATTTTAGTATACATAGGGTTACCTTATGAAATTATACCATCATCACCATCAGCTGTGACTAGTAAAAAAGGAAACAAATCAGTTTGGTGAATCATAAACTAATCGCATGTGACTTATCTGTTAAAAATTGAACTTATTAACAATTTTTAGAAAATGATAGAAATTTTATCAGGTAAATAATGAAACGTTAGATAATGGAAGAAGAAAATAATCATAGTTACCTTGATCCTGAATTCGTTCGACAACACCGTTGCCATGCTATTCACCGCTTCCTCCATTAACGGAAGGATGACCATTATTTAAAAAGTGAACGATAGTTAAACTAGATATTTACTTTTTATGTAGCTGATATTCAACACTCAACAGAAAACTGCTGTTTCCTGGTTTGCAGTTAGCATCCTTATTTTCTTGGGTTGTGAGGATGTGCGAGTCCTATTTGTATGCCTGAACCAGCTGCCTGAGTAGGATGACCTTGAATGAATAGGAAGCTTTTATTGGTTAACTGAATCAAAAATTCATGCAAAATTCATTCATGACCATAGGTACATTTTCGACAGAAAATAAGGTCACGTTCAACCAACAGTGTACGTATATTCCTTTAGAAAGTGAAGCCAAATCTTGATCATTTGCATGGGTCCGTCAGCAAGTCGACCGACTGGAATTAAAAAACGCGTTACTATGTCAGTCGTGACCGGAATAGTTCACAAATAACATCTCTAACTATGAACAATAATTCCCTCAAGATTAAAAGTAAACTTTGCCGGTAACAATACTGCCTAGCCCGAAAACTAGGTCCAGAGATTTGTGTCGACGGATTTCAACCACTTAATGCCCGAACAAAGTTTGGGTTCGTTTTGCACTAAATTCGAAGTATTGTTAACTTTTTCATTTCTGTACTGCTTCATATCATCATTGTCATTATGGTCAACTTTCTAATTCAAATAACTCTTATATTTCTCTAAATTCAGATTTACAAAGAACCAAAAATTCATCGTGTAGACGAATTCTTTATCGTTCAAATTCATTTAATGCATTTCTTTCTCAACAAAGTGAACAAATGGCTGGGACAATACAATTATTTTATTTGTATGAAGATAAAAATTCAAAGAATATGTGCAGTCTTGATAAATCAAAAGAAGGAAAGAAATCACAAACAGTTGAAAGAATAGTCGATGAAATCCGACTTAGTTTTATAGATCGTCCAATTGGACATGTAAAGGTATGAATGTTATGGATATGATGAAATTAAATGTTTGTAATTTAGTCGGGCTGTTCTTGAAGATCAGTTAAGTATTGAAATTAAACTTCGTAATAGACTGATATTAGTTGAAAGACCGTTGAATCGCTGAATAGCTTGTCTGTTGTAGTTTGTGATACTTTCACATAACACACCAATAGTTTTATCCCGCTCAACGAAACAGTAGTCACATTCTCACTCGTGACTAGGTTTAATGGTTGATTTTGTGCAATTTTAGTGAGAGTCTGGAACTGGTAGAGTTCAACAATGTAGAGGGTCAAAAAAAATCACCGGTTTTAATATTTTTTAACGCGTAACAGCTTTCATTAATTGAAGTTCGAAATTTGAACTAATCGGTACCCATTTTGTGATCACATTAATTATAATAGCTGATTGGCAAGAAGATTTATTGTATCTCTCGGGTTAGCTTAGAAACTGATATCGTATATCATTGAGAAATCACAAACTAGGACGAAACAGCTGTTCGGTACTTCTTGTTTCTTAGCAGTCATCTTTGACGAAAACTATTTTAAGCTACCATATACATGACGGTTAGTATTTAAATAATAATGATAATAATTTTAATGGATGGAATTCATCAGCTTTTAGTGCATACTTCCTTGATAATATTCGTTTGAATTTAGTCGCTTGCTAACTACTTAATATTTTTTATCATGTCGAACATATTAATTTTATGAACTTGTTAAAGACTTTTGCTCAGTGTTAGATCATTATCAACACTAAGCGAAGCGATTAGATATTGATGCTTCGGAGTTTATTATAAATAAATATATTACCAAAAAACGGTAAATAGTCAGTTAGATATGAACTTATAATCTGACATTCATAATCACAATTTCTGTTATTTACTCGTAATTATCTTGTCGCTTGGACAAAATATTAATGTTAATAACTATTTTAAAGTTTTTCAAGTTTTGTAAATTACTGATGTTATAGCGTACGTGTAAATGAATTGATCAGGAGTTTGATATTCATACAACTGTACGTGTTATTTGTTTGGCTCACTCAGAGAACAAAGGAAAAAAACACCATTTAAGAAAATATATTAGAAAAATAGAGTTTCTTAGTAAAGAGGGTTAGATGACCCGAGGTCTGACTCCTGATCGATTGTACGAATGATTGTTATCGAAATATACATGTCACCAAGCCTCGTATATAATCATTGAATTATATCGCGTTGGTGAATAACGGAATTAAATAAGTCAAATATGAAAATGGATTTTTGAATACGTACTTAAATGAGATGCCTGTCCAGTGCTTTCAGATTTCCAATGATGATCTAATATTGATTGATTCATGATTTCAATGGAACTCAACAATCTTACTATACTAATGATTATTCATGCTTGACTAAAAAATTCATGAAAATTTTCGTCTGGACAATTAAGAAAAGTTTATTTTAACTGGGGATAAGATCTGAGTAATTTAAGGCTTCTTATTATTACCTATTGATATTAACAATAAAATTACAGTAAATAAAGGAACATTGTCATATGTTTTCTGTTGGTTTAAAATTGTTCAGTAATTCGTAACTGTGACTATTGAAGTCTGATGATGAGTACAATAAAGTTTAGACACTAGATTAAAATCCAACATCTGATATTCTCCATTCTCAAACAGTTCAAAAAATTACAAATTTATAGAAATTTGTATTAAGATATATATCAAAATAACAATTATATACACACTAGTAATTGTTTTTAAAATAGTTATTCCTGCGACTGATACGAAAGCCATGATTTGTTGGACTCAATCTCTTGGAGAGAAAAATAGTTTACAATCGACGATGCTTAAAAATAATAGTGTTATATATTGATTTAATGTAAGTTGAAGTAGATGGTAGAATGATTCATAGCTCTGTAACCGAATTTTTTGTTGACATCACAAAAAAAACTAAACATTATGTGTTCAAGCCCATATATTTTCTATCACAATTGATTGATCACTGGGTGGTGATCAATGTCATGCATGTAAAGTCCTTCTTAGTGCTGATCGAATGCTATCGATCAAGTTGTAATGTGGCCACTAGTCTAAGTGGCTCTTCACTGCGTACACTATTTTGAGATAAGATGGTGGTTAGAGGTGGTCAAGAGGAAACCCTGGACTCCGGTTTCGTGCTACTTGGCACTTGTCAGCAAGGTGTACCTGTAATCTTGAGGAACTGGTGATTCCTGACGGATTCGATCCCGTGTCACTTAGCTTCACAGTCAGAGACGTTACCACTGAGCTATCCGGGTCCGGGGTTTCCTGTTGACCACCTCCAACCACCATCTTATCTCAAAATAGTGTACGCAGTGTGGAGCCACTTAGACTAGTGGCCACATTACAACTTGATCGATAGCACTCGGTCAGCACTAAGAAGGACTTGATACGCATGACATTGATCACCCCCCAGTGATCAATCAATTGTGATTACATCTCAGTCCTACAGGAGGTCGGTCGCGGCCCAAATAGCTCAGTGGTAACGTCTCTGACTGTGAAGCTAAGTGACACGGGATCGAATCTGTCGGGAATCACCAGTTCCCTCAAGATTACAGGTACACCTTGCTGCCGAGTGCCAAGTAGCACAAACCCGAATCCAGGGTTTCCTGTTGACCACCTTCAACCACCATCTTAATTTCTCCTATATACAATATTGAAAAATATTAGTTTAATGATGAAATACCTATTCATTACTCTTTGATTTCAAACAGTCCTTTCGGTAATATCATTTCATGTTGAAAATTATTTTCCATACATACAATTTTCCCCATATAATGTTTTTGTCATCTTTACATAAAATAGTTTCTATATAATTAATTACATACAATTAAAATCTATATGTTATTTTCTTTTTTGTATTTTTTTTCGAAAATAACTTTGTTTTATTTTTTTTTCGTCTGTAGAATTTTATTTTCTCTATTTATTTTTTGTTTTATTTTATAGATTAAAAATTTAAGTAATTGGGATTTTAACATTTTTCATTTAAAACGAGCAAGTTCCAGTAAGTCTCATACAGTTTTGTATGTTTTTTCTTTTGTCGACATCATGTAACTATAAATTAATGACTATAGTTATTTGTTTTTCTATACTCTTATTATCTAATAGTAATAATTATGTAACTTTTTTTATTTTTGACGTTAACATTAGATTTACTAATGGATGGTTAGTTTTTCTTCTAACAATTAATAATAGTAATTTTAATAGTTGAAATCATGAATCAATTGGAGCTAGACCACCATGGAAAACCTGGAAGCACTGGACGACCGTTTCGTCCCATTGTGAGACTCCTCAGCAGTGCTCATCCACGATCCCGCCTCGCATGATTAGAACCCAGGACCTACCAGTCTCGCACGCGAGACTCATGATCTCAACTCCTAAAATTACTGTGATATTCACAAAAACCCTTCTGATGTTAATCAACATATGCTCACTAGTGACTGGTTTCAAGAGGTATTTTCTGTAGTTCTAGTGAGAAGCCCTGAATAGTAGAGTTCAACCAGGTCTGTTGTGAGGTATCAACTCACTGAAGATATTAGTGAATGGTTGCTCAATTTCGTGGATTGGTTGAAGTTAGACATTAACACCGTTGGATGCCTGCTCAGTGGTCTGTCGGCTAAGTGCTCTGGCGCGAGACTGATAGGTCCTGGGTTCGTGGATGCGCACTGCTGAGGAGTCCTACGATAGGTCGAAACGGCCGTCCAGTGCTTCCACGTTTTCCACGGTTGTCTAGCTTCAATTGACTTATGACTACAACCATATAAAATTACTAAAATCTCCACAAAACCCCTTTATGACAAATCAATATGTTAACAAATCGAAATTATTAAATGAACTCTTAAAAACACCAATAGTTTCACTGATGACAAACAAAAGTAGCCTAATATCATCCATTGAATATGTATGTCCTAATATGACCTTTCAGGCTGCTATGGTTTGACAAATACTTTTAATCCTACGATTAGATTACTTGACAGATTAACCTTGTTGATATAATCAGAAATTACTAATATAGGTTACAGTCAAAAGAGTAGAATAAAACAACTCAATGTAACCTATGTATATATGAATTTGAAAAAAGATTCACATGATTAAAATGCATAAATTACAGAGCCACAATGTATCATTAATAAGAAATTACAGCATACACCACACTAGGATGATGAAGATATAAAATCAGAATAACAAGTTAAAAATATAAAAAGAATAGGTTAACATTAACCCATCCAATGTAAACAGTTTGAAATTAACGCTAGTTATATTGTTATTAAAAAAATCTTAACATACAGTGAAGTTTAGTTTGAAGCTATACAAAAGAACATTGAAAACAAGAAAAGGAAATACTATATTGAACATAACAGTTAAGATTAATTAGTATTTGTATTGTTGAATTTAAACTTATTTAAGAAAGGGGATAATGTCGTAAATGGATAAGAAACAGAATGAAAAGAAAATAGTTTATAACAAAACATCCTAGTTGATACGAGATTGAAGCTAATATTGTGACTGAATGCCGATCGAATGTTTCAAAATATACAATACAATAAAAAGGAGTAAATAATAGGTGAACGTTAAAACAAAGTAGTTTTCTCATCATTACAACGGAAGGTTTATTAAATGTTTTTTTTTCTGTATACAAAGGTTAAATTGAAAGCGCCTCATGACAATAGGTTTTGGAATGGATAGTAAAAGCGATGTACTCTGTTTAATATTTGTTTTGAACATCAATGTGATAACCACTTTGTATCCATCATCTGTTAGATATCTAGTGATTGCACTTATGAACGTTATACTTTCTTTTAGACACAGCGTTTAAGGAATATGTTTAGAAACTCTTATGGATACCTTGAAATATAATGAATTCATGTTATTATACCGATTTTATTCATCTCATTTTGTTTAAATTTATCAAAAAATCAAAGTGTATAAAATAGGCTTATGATTAATTTAAGAATAGAAAAAAAACATGAAAATAATTGATCAGCCAAATAAAAATCTTACAATTAGTAAATGCAAAAAATCATATTAACTAATTGTTTACTAAATTACACATTAAATAAATAAACATGATATTGAAAGAAAACTAACTCTTCTTTCATTCTCACTTATTCATTCTGCCTAAACACTCTCTTATGACTAGTCTGTTTTTTCTTTCTTTTCAATGTCAATAACTTCAAATTGTATACATTGTTTATGAATAATCATATTATTGATTTTCTATTATTCCTTACAGTCATTAGTTTTATTTTATTGTAATTTGTTCTTAATCTTGTTCCTCTTTTTTTTTAACGATAAAATTATAATTTCAGATTATACCATTCGTGATATTGGTTTACAAATAATGAATGAATATGATTTATTTCAAAAATTAAAATTAAATTATTTCATGATGGCTAGAATATTCAGTAAGTAAATGTGTATTTGTGTTTATGATTATTTGATTTATTTATGAGAATTATCATTGTGAAGATTGTTGAAATCATGAATTGATCAGTGTTAGACTACCATTAAAAACCTGGAAGTACTGGATGATCGTTTCGCTCTATTATAAGACTCCTCAGCAGTGAACATTCACGATACCACATATGGCAACCAACCCGTGAATATTCGGCTTTGCGCGCAAGCGCTTAACCTCTTGACTCGACGATTCGAATCCCGTGTGTGAGATAGTGGATTTTCACTGCTGAGTAGTCCCATACTAAGATGAAATGACCGTCCAGTACTTCCATATTTTCAATGATGGTCTAGCATTGGTCGATTCTTGAGATTAAACAGAATTATTATTGGTTTTGGTGTTAACATAATTTGGTTGTTAATATTGAGAATTTCATTTTAGTTAATCTGTTTAGTCTAATAATACGATATTGCCTATAGCTAGAAGTTTATTATATTTCAAATACTGCTTAAAAGTAGATGATTTTTGGATTTACTGTGAATTACTTTTTGGAAACAGCTTTGAGGGAAATACTTCGTGATGATGGTATAGACTTGTTACGCAGAGGAAGACATTTCGACCTTGAATATAAGGATAACATTGTCTTACTGTGCCATGATATGCAAGTAACCTAAATTGTACTTAATCAGTTCGGAGATAGTGTCTGTCAATACAGCATACATTTATCGCATTTGACTTGGGGATTACTTCTGCAAAATTCCTATGTGCCCAAGTCCACTCTTTGTTGTAAGTCTTCGCTAGAAATCATAAGGTTCGTGTATCCCAGTAGTTGTGCCAATGTTTTTAATGGTGTGGCGGATGAAATCATAGCTGCTTAATTCCATCCAGGCTATCTGCTTTTCATTGTCATTATTCTAATCTGGCTGTAGAAGGTTAGGTATACAATACATTCATGACGACAATGCTGTTGTATGATTTTGAAACCTGACTCCTTCAAAGTAAGGATGTTTTTCGATTCACTGTGTTCTATCATCATTGTGTTCTAAGAATTGTAGACATCCAGTGTATGTAAGTAATGCTATGGTTCGTCAGCGAATGTTCGGGCTCATTGACAATAATCCATTTAGTGACTTATCTGAGTGGATAGTTTGATTTCACTTACTATAACTCCTATTCATTATGTGGAATCTTTAAATTAAGGGTCAGAAGTATTGTATATATAATTAAACGTGGTAAGTATGTATTCGAAATAATCAGTACATTAATTAGCTGCATGAAATAATTTAGACAATACTGAAAATTCTTCATAGAAGGCAACCGAATATGTAATACATAATGGCCTATTATATAAAGTTCGGTGAAATGATTATGGTTATGCAATGTGCTCCGAACAGAAGAAGAATGTTACTTTTTCAAATTATAATATTAACCTTATTAAATAATATGCATATGCACGATTGACTTGATTTGAGATGGATGTAACTTAAAAATTTAAGCCAGTCACAAATGAAATAATAATTCTCCGACGATATTGTATAAGGTTTGTGTTATTTTTAAAATCGATTTAAGTAGTAAATTGTTGGCCAACGTGAAATTTGACTCGCCGAGCGGCCTCATGGTCGTGCATATAATCCAGTTAAAGTAGGCTATTGGTCATTTCGGAAGGCTCCCAGACTTAAACAAGATACTTGACAAATTTTGATTGATTTCTTAATGAATTTCAATCTTGTCTATATAATAAAAAAAATTAAACCGAATTATAAATGCAGATGTCCTTGGGAGAATTTTTTCAGCACTTCATGATACTGCGAATTACTTGTTTATCAATCAACTAATTAATCAACCAACCAATTGTAGATACGGAAGATTTATTGATTTTTCAACTATTTATGAAGCATGATTTTTCTTTTTTGAAAATCAATATTGTTTTCTAATAATGATTAGATTATTTCTATATAATTCAAGTTAACTAGAATTCGATAGTCACTTTTTTCTCGTTATTGTTAAAAAAGAATTCGTCAAACTTCAGAAAATGTAATCCTTTATTCTATCTTATTTATTCTAGTTATTTATTTGAAAGAAAATTTAGTTCAATGTTTGTTTAAGTTATCGATAATTTAAAAAAAATTATTTGTTCGCAATAAATGGTTTAGGCTTAAATGGGTTTTGGTGGGAATTGTAGAAATTGTGTTTATCGAAAAAGCTTGTTCACAACTGTCATTTAAATTATCATCATGTATGTAAAGAAAAACTATGAAACTATTCATTCACTGAAATTGAAAATGCTAGTTTCTTGAATGATAACTTCTTAATGTTTAATATTAAGCAACCAAATGACCTAAAAGAAAAGAATATCCTCACAGTACTCATGAATTATAATAGACCTATGTTGTTATTCTTTCCTTCAACATCCTCTAATGCCATCCAACACCAGTTATTTACAGTCACTCATTGTTTTTAGGAAATAATGTGGATGAATTCCTCATTTTATTTGCTGACAAACTTTTATTTAAAGTATTGAGGGTAGCTAATAGTCTTGAGCGTTCACATATAAATACACAACCAGGTATATTACTGTATTTTCCGTGATTTCTAACTTCATTTAGTAAAGAAAATTAATAATAAAAGTTATTTAACTGATATATATATATATATATATATATATACCTCGCGGGTATTTCACACAATTGATTTAAACGATATATTCCTTTCAGTCTTCTCTTCTTTTCTATTTCTTCTTGTGTTATTCTTATTCTCTGAAAATAAACCAATGTGCGTATGTATGTGCGTCAAAGAGGAACAAAATTTCGATGAAAGAAAGTCCAGGGGGAAAAATGTATTAGGATTATTTTATTACTTCGTTGCTGTTTCATTTTCTTTAAAAAATGACATCATTTCATTATTAGTAGATTGTATTAATTTCTATGTTAGAAAACTATATATCATATGCTTCGTTGCTCTCTTTACCCTTTTTTCTTCATCTCTCATTCGTGCACATTTCTATTTGACCCAAAAACAAATGCCAATAGAAATAAATTGTAGTTTTTCTAGTTTTTATATCAAGGAATGTTTTTATAAGCCGAATGAATATTCTTACTAAATAAAAAGAAAAAAAACAAACACAGTTAGAATCTGAAGGACAAAATCATGTATAACCTACTATTTATGTATGTGTGTGTGGGTGTGTAGGCGCGTGTGTGCTGTTGACCAAATATGTCACCACACCAACAAATACATATACAAGCACAGATTTATACACATTGTTTTTCCTTAAACTTTTCAACATTTTTAATTTTTGTTGATTATGTTTGACAAGATTTTTAAATATCAGCTGACTAAAACAAAATTTTTAGTATGATTATGATACATTAGTTTTCTTTTTACAAAATAATGAAATATTTAAAAAGTGAAATGAATAGAATTGAAGATAATAAAAGCTATGGTAGATTAGTTGTGTTAGGGTTAAGCATTCAGGGTTTATAGATTTACCACATTTCAAATGATTTACATGACATAATCTTATTATTCAATGAAATAACCCGCTTGAAGAGACTGAAAGCTTTTAAGGATAATTGTCTTCGCAAACCTTTTACACCATAGCAAAAAGTGTTTAAAATATGATTGTCGTGAGAAGAGTAGTTGATGGAACTCTTGTTTATTCAAACTTGATCAACTTATTATTATTCGCCTAAAAGCCTTTACTTACTCTATCATAATTATTTTAAGTCGAAACCAGTGACTTAGTAGTTGAGTTTTAAAATCTTAGTCTGGTTGCTGAGTTAAATGTTGAATTAGCGAGTTGAATTAAGCTAGACCACCATTGAAAACCTGGAAGCACCGAATGGCCGTCTCGTCTTATTATGGTACTCCTTAAGTTGAGCAGAATTTGGGAAAATCTTAAAAAAAAACCATATATAGCACTGATTGTTTAATAGGTAGTCCTATATATGTATGTATAGCCATGATTGCTTAGCAAATTATATCGATCAAGTGAAGTTGTAGTCATTTATTTAAATAACTTAACGTCATCTGCATGTCATTGATTTGAAAGCTGTTGATAGGAAGCTCAGGACTAAGATTTTATGCTACTTGGCACTCGTTGTTAAAGCATATCTTCAATTTTAAGGGGAATGCTATTCCTTGAGTAATTTGAACTCATGTCACCCATAATCACAAGTGTAAGACTTCATGTTAACAACTTGTACTTACCTAATTAGAATAAAACTTGCATTTTATATCGTTTTAATTGATCCATTGATTATACTCTAATTCAGATAATTCAAAAAAAATAAATTTTTATGAATGGAATGGTCTCAGCTTTTTATCATATAGTTTATGCAACATTCTTACCTTTTATTGCCAATCAATGTTGTGATAGAATTATAATTATGAAATTTCTATTTCATATTCATTATTTAACATGTGCATTTACTGACCACTTTTTCAATGTGTATATTCAGTAAAACGAATTAGTCTCAGTGGTAAACCTAATTCAATTGTTTAGTTGACAATGTATTATTGTTTGATGTTGTCAACAACAATATTGCGGAGATTATTATTATTACTAGATTGTTCATAGTTTAAGTTCATTTTTAAACAACATAATTTATTCATTTACAGGTTATGTCAAGAAGCTGGGTATTATTGTTATAATTCGATTGTTTGTGAATCAATTTGGATTAAGTGTAATTTATTTATCGATTACTAGTTGAGACATAACTGCTCTTATAAAAGCTAGCGTTATTACCTAGTTACCTAAACAGTAATGAGTTAAACAGAATTCGAAGCTATCACTTACTACTGGTGCGAAGAGTCAAAAAACATCAAAACTTATATACATTGAATAATTCATAAACTAGTGTAGTTCGTTCTTAGAACTTTTATTTATTGACACTGATTAATAGTAATTGTTTGATTTATTTTGAGTAATTTTCAATGGTGATCTAACATTGATCGATTCATGATCTCAATTAAAATTCAACATTCTCCACAACCCACACTAATAATTATCATATGCTCACTAGTGACTAGCTACGAGAGATGATTCTTTGAGTTTTAGTGAGAATCCGTGACTTGTGGGGTTGAACCATGTCTAGTATGATGCAGTTATCCACAGAAGATAATGGAAAATGATAGCGCAACTATGTAGGTTGGTTGAAGTTAGACATTAACATTGTTGGATGTCTGCTTAGTTGTCTAGAGGTTAAACGTTGGCGTGCGTGAGTGTTGGTTCTGGATTCGAATATTGCATGAGTGATTGTGGATTCGCAGTGTAGGTGAATCCCATACTGAGATGAAATGACTTTTGAGTGCTTTCAGGTTTTCACTGGTTGTCTATCATTGATCGGCTCATGATCTTAATTAATAATTAGATTATTGAAAACTATGATCATCATTATTGTTTGTTTTAATTGAGATAATCTTCATTCTTTTGTACAGTTACATATGAGTTAATAATTGATATACTTTTTAGGAACTAAATTAAATATTTTAAGTTCTTTTTGGCTGAAAAATGAGTACATTACTTTTGATTGGTTTCTTTTTCTATATTGAACTTGTATAATGACAAAAGAAATTCTAAATCTAAATTCTTTAACTAAGTTACATTTGAATACCATGGTTAGTTTATTTTTTGTTCTGGCGAATAATAAACGATCATTTCCAACTATTTTATCACGTTACTTCTCTCATTTACTCATTATGTAAATATAATTGATGTAAGATGATTGCCAATTGTTGTTAAGATAAACATTTTCCACTAGTTATTAATTTTTAGTGGAAAATATTTGTAATCTTGACATTACTAATTAACTCTATTGGATTCGAACTGGTATTATCCATTTTTCTAATCTCAAGTTCTACCATTAAGATATTCATGCCTTAACTGACTAATATTTACATTGATTTATTCTTGAGTAGTAGCCAATTTCTACTACCTTCCCACAAAGAAAGAGTGGGGTTAGAAAAGGTCGACCCTAAAAATGCACACCTCACCTTATCGCACGGATGTCCATCTCTGTCTGTAAGTTCTGAACGAGTACGGAGATGACACAAAAATTAACCACAAAATGGTCGTATGTGACCGGCCTCAAGCAGTTATCCTTTGGGCACTGTGGTTACGCTTTCAGGTCACTAAGACCAACAATAACCGAATTTCTTCTTCATGTACATGTAGAAGAACGCTTCCACAGGATGGGCAACCGGGAAGTGATAACCGCCTTTATACCTCTAACAGCACTCAAGATACTTTCTGTAGAATATGTTTATTACAGATAAAATGTACACTAAATGTCCTTATTTGCATTATTTTTAGTATTCCTACTATATTAAAGGCATAAGTATACTTTCAACCCCATTCAATGATATATATTTTAACTTATATGTATATTTATAACTGTTTAAAAAAGAACAATTTATCATTCAACACTTTTGTATTTGCCTTTTATCTTTCCTTTAAAAAAAAATAATTTAGGCTCTATAGAAGCAGCTTACCACAATTTCAATCCGTATCATACAGCGTTGCATGCAGCCGATGTACTACAAGCAGTGCATTGTTTTATATCACAGAGTCAAGTAAGCAATCAAGAGAAAATTAATAATGAATAGTTTATTTTTGTGTAGTGATTTTTAATACAACATTGTTACTTCAGTGTTTCATCCAATGTTTTGAATATAAAGATAATTTTATAAAATATTTAATATACAAATTCTGGTCATTTGATTATAAGACATGGTTATTGATAGTACTGTTATGTATGACTTCTAATAATGGACTAAATGGCATTTATAAAACGTACTTTCTTAACCACGTCAGATGTAATGTGGTTACCACTTAATGGTATTGGCAGATGATTATGCAATATTGCGAATCAAATAAAATTAGAAATATAAACCGTTGGATGCTAACTCGATGGTCTAGTTTCAATCCCTAGTATGGTTATGGATGCACACAGATTAGTAGTTCTATACTCTAATGAAACTATTGTTTAGGGCTTTCTAATTTGTTTAAGATCAGTTCGTGATGTAAACTGTAAAAGTGATTATTTTTTATCATTCAACCGTTTCTCTATAGATGATGGTAATGCCTAACAAATTGTACTTACGTGTCTCGTTCAATCGAAGTTATCGTACGTAAATAAAGGTTGAATTAGTATAATCAATAGTCACGCATTTGAGCGTGTTTTTCAAATTTATCTTTTGTCCTGTTTGATAAAAAAATTGACAGTAAACCTTACGTGTAGGATGATATGTTGGAAACTTGGATTGATTAATTATTTTCGGTTGATTTCCTAAAGTTTTACTCATCATCTTACAGTAAGTAATCAAGACAAGTTATCTTTGTGTGAAATTGTTATTTATTTTATTTATTTAAACACATAAATATTGGTACAAAGGGGCCTCAGATATATATGCACCACATAAATCACTTGATTTGTGTGTGGGCTATGATAATGCTCAGGTGCCCAAACCAAAGTAGGTGGTTTTCTTAGGGGGCCACACACCAAGCCTCCAACCTACAGGTCTGATCCACAAGACAGTGGAGTAACGTAAGGAGATGCAGTCCAATGGTAGCCGGTGGTCAACAATAGGTTTATACGTCATTTGTTCTTTCAGGATAGGGGAGCCCATATGCACCATTGGTTTGGAATCAGGGTTTTCCAACTTCCCTAGGTGAACCCTCCGTGTTCATCGACCTGGTTAAAGCACTGGATATTTTCTTTTCGTGAAATTGTTACACTTAATAAATATATTGAAGAAAAAGATAGTTATATGTATGAAATATGAAAATATCAATTATTTAAGCAACTTCTTTTTTTATATGGTGCATACTAATAGTAGGATATTGATATTCATATCAACTGAATTCGAATAACAAAATTAGTCTAATTGGGTCAGCAAAGAACAAAACTCTATTATTGATAAAGGTGAATAACCTAGACTACATTGGAATTTCATTTGTGACTTTTTTCAATTTTCAAAGTATTTAAAACAACATATTTCATTGTTTTAATAATCCACTTGTAATTAAGCGAATTTTCATTTAATTCTGAATGATCTTCCATTTTCCAGGTAACAATCATTACAATGTTTGTGTAATTCTTTTATTTATCATTTTAGCTGTTTGTCTTCATTAGCAAATTATGTAGAAATTTGTTAATTTGGTGAGATAAATCTATTCTTTCAGATCTAGATTAATGCTTGTTTCCTTTCTTAAAGTTTAATTAGTACTAGAAATTATTTTGATAAAGACTAAGAAAATAAACGTCTAAGATGATATTAAAACTCAAGACAAAACGGAGGACGAAAAGCGAACGTACCGACAACATTGAAACAGATTCTAGGCCATAATGTCTAACCACATCAACCATTGACTACTTTAATCATGCAAACCTAAACCAAATAGTCTGTACGTATCTACATGGTTTAGTTTAATGATCAATGACTTTATGGAATGTCTAGCTTTCTTTCAATGTACTTGTACACTAGCTAGTATATGCTTTAAGTTAGGGGGTGATTTGGCATGAGGAACATATTCCTCAACCATTTCAGTCAATCAAGTATCATCACCTCATCAACCGAGCTCTCATCTTTACCTGGTGTATGTTTAACCTCAGCGTTGCTCAGTCGATGGTCCCATTACACTCGAGCAATGCTTCGAAGTCATCTATAATCAAATAATCAGGGTAAAACGACTTAATCACGTGCAGAATTTCTTTTAAATAGTTTCTGTAATTAGGGACAACCGTACAATGTGATTCTATTGTCTGGTTTGTTTGTGTTTTTCAGTTTGTATGCTGGTTAGAACATTAGGATTGACAACGCTCAGTGTTCAGATTTAATAAAAGCTTGGCTCAGTCAAACTGAATTATTTCAAAAGTATGCAGTGCATTTAAATTAAGCGTTAATTAGTATGACTTGTTTTTTTCTTGTTCCGAAATGGATGAAAAGAACTGTCTGAATATTACCGTCAGAAATATTACTCCTGACGAAATGGTTTGTGATCATGTCGGTAATTGTGAACTAATAGAAAGGTTAATAGATTATTCATAGTAAACAGACCTCACACGTGCACTGACACTCAAATTTAATTTTCTTTCTTAAAAGTTATTTTCTCGTACTTTACGGCAAATCATTCTCATGAAGCTTTTATCAGAAAACAAAAAATCACTGTTCTATTTTTTCTTATTATAATTTACATTCTTAGCGGTGTACGATACTTTATACAACAAACAGTAGATTTTAATACACTCAACTAAGATAACTAATTATCTAGAATAATATAATGAGAAGTAGAAGCTTTGATGCAACTCATTTAACAGTCGGACATAATAATTAGTGTTATATCGTGTGGCCTATTTTCCCTGTTAATGCATAACGTGACGATGCCACCAATTAGAGAGCAGTGAATTATCGATCGGACCAATGACACACGAAACCCATGCGAGTAGTCTAGAGTACTTATCGGTTCTGCTTTCCGCCTAGCCCAGTCAGTTAAGTCCAGAATACCAATAACAGCCTCTGCAATATGAATCATTTATTTCAAACATACTGGGTTTATATACCAAACAAACAGACCGAATCACACCATAAAATAGAAAATAACATTTGTACAAGATTTAGCCAAATGTGGATGTGAATAAGGGAGATAGTAATTGCTAGGGAGGGCATAACTCAAGAATGGTAAGTCGTATAATAATAGTTCATAGGTCAAAATAAAACTCATAATAAGGGGGACATGAATATGAATAGTTTAGTTATTTAGCAATTATACGATAAAAATATACCCATAGTACTGGTCCATAAATGAATCTCAAAAGTTATCATTCCTTATTGATATCGGGACATAACACTTAGTGTACTTTGTATTTCAATACTATTCAATTATTCAGTTGTTATGTTTCTGAAACGAAAATTATTGCTCATGTACGATTATCTATTGCAAGTAGTTTAATCACCGATTTTTTTTCATAAAAATAAATGGTACAACAGCATGATATCATTGTATATATTTTGTTTATTATTATTGAAATAATAATGAAATATACCCATTACACATAAACAGAATGAACTTTAAGAGTGAATAATGTTTTGAAGTGTATAGAAAACTTTCCAGTTGTTTTTATATGGAAGAAGTCCCTGGAGTGAATTCTTCGAAACAGTGGTTTAATTACTGTTTTTATTGGTTAAATTTCAAGAATTCACGGTTAATTTTAAGGGAATAGATCATATGTTTTCATAAAATATGAAAACCATAGATTAAATACATTATTTGCACATCTTCCTTCAGTTGTCCTTTACATACTTCATGTTCCTTCCAATTCTTTCATTATTCCAATTGCTCTCTGTTTCCCTTTCTGTTCATTTCAATTCAATCTTATACTGTCAGGCATTCCACTTCCGTTTGCTGCTACATACTACTTATATCTGTCAGTATAATTAGCATTCACCACAATATTAACTAAATTATGTTATTAGTGAAATGTAGACTGATTAACTTGACATAGCGTTTGTAGAGTTATTTTTATTTAATTTCCGATCCTTGTATTAATGGAATCGTAAATTAGGCCAGGTATGCATAGTCACCTACGATCAAACTGTACTAGAATCCTGATCCAATTAAAGCCTAAATAGTCACTTTCCACTTTTTATAGCAAACTGCAAAGTAATCTCATCTTGCGGTCGCTTAATAAGTACGTCTAAAGAGAATACTATCCAATTTTATTGTAGAAATGGTATAATGTGGGCGTAAAGGTATTTCAGGCACTCAAATGAGTAGAGATGAGAGTAAACAAATAATGACTTTCTCGATTCATTGAAAACTAACCCCTAGATACATTAGTGTAAATAAGATCAAACAAGGAAATTGTATGGATTTTTTAAATATAAAAGATATATGTAAGAAATCGATAATCACCCATATGAACGAGTTTTTAAACACAATGTATTTATGTTTTACGATTCAAAAAGCTAATTTGTAAACTTTAAAGTATCCAGAAATCATGCTAAAACACTGTGCTAATACACGTACGCACTCCAGTCCCTTCCATTTCAGAACTAGATTGTTAATCTTATAAATATATATCTTCATTATATGAGAAGGATCAAGCTTTTGAGATCACACTGAATTTTACATTCAATAGTATCTGTCTACTTCAATTGTTGGCTCGTCTATGGATCTAAATTATTTACCCCTAATCAGCGAGGAGAATAATGAAGTAATAAGCTCAGCTGATAAGTTTTTTGTACCAAAAGTAATTGATCTTCATTTACAGCTTCAAAGCAATATTGACTGACGTGTAACAATCACTATACAGTTAACTAATATATGTATATGGGAATTATTGATTAGTTTTTCTTCGAAAACAAACTGAAATTATCGGGAAATCAAAGTTTATGACATATTGGGCCACTCAGAAATCTGCCAAATGATAAGTGTATGTGACAGATCAACGAATGGCCTTCGTTTATAAACGGTGAGACATACACCAATGGTGGATCAATTAAATAAGGGATATATACATATATGAGTGAACATATAGTTTAAGTAAAAAAAACATCCTTTTTTTACTCTT